TGGCCTCGCCGAGTTGTTCAAAGAGTTCCTCCACTCGCGGCAACGGGTATCGGTTCTTGATGGTGAGTTTGTTGAGGGCGCGGTAGTCTATACACATGCGAAGGGAGCCATCCTTCTTTTTCACGAAAAGAATGGGGGCTGCGTAAGGGGAAGAGCTGACACGAATGAAGCCTTTTTCAAGGAGTTCCTCCAGTTGAGCTTGGACTTCCTTCAGTTCAGCAGCACTCATGCGGTAGGTAGCACGAACAGGAGGTTCAGATCCAGGTTGTAGCACGATCCGGTGATCCACTGAGCGCTTGGGAGGAAGTCCTGCTGGGAGGTCTGAAGGAAACACATCTTGAAAATCAGTGAGGACTTTCTGAATTTCTGCAGGAGGAGTAGAATTTGGAGAAGAAGGAGTTGAAGGGGCTTTTGAGGTTTGTTGAAGCAAGCAAACGAAGAATTGAGCCTGAGGGTCTTTGGAAAGCTTCTTCAGCTGTCTCACAGAAATCACACTGCAGCTGGGTGAGGAAGAGGAGGAAGAGATGGTGGGAAGAGTGATTTCAGCTCCACTGTGCACGATGGATACTGTTCCAGCAGTCCAATCAATCCGTGGGTTCTTGGATGAAAGCCAATCACGCCCGAGGATTAGATGATGCTCTCCCAAAGGCACTTGCTGGAACTGGAGCTTGTCTTTGTATGAGCCCATGGTGCAGCTGATTGGGAAAGGGGTTGGGCCACACGTGATAGAAGCTCCGTTCGCCATCTGCACTGTTTGGGAATGGGAATCTTGCTGGATAGGAAGAGATAGTTCAGAGACAAGGTTTGATGAGATGAAGTTGGAAGAAGCTCCGCTATCAATCAGGGCCTTGAAGGTACGGTTCCGTATGCTTATGGAAAGGAGAAGGGGGTTGGATGGGATGGTGTTTTCAAGAGAGATGATGGAAGGGCTCTGCAGGTTGCCAGAAAGTCGCCCCAAGCTTACTGGCGGTGACTGTTTTTTGGTACTGGAAGCAACGGTGGTCGGCTGGAGCGTTCGCGGCAGAACCTCCACACATGACCTTTCTTGCCGCACTTGAAGCAAACGACATCGGGCTTCACAAGTTTCTTGCCCTTCTCCATCACGTCCAGGTCCATAGGAGCAGGTTCTTGCTGGTTGAATGTCGCTGAGGATGATGGCTGATGGGAGGGAGCAAAAGGGAGAAACGGGCTGCGAGGAAATTGTGCCTTGTATGCGAAATGAACAGCGTCATACCGTTCAGCGACACGTATCATTTCCTCGAGCATAGTGCAGTCCCTTAGCTCGACCTCCATGCGGACGTTGGATTTCAGGCCACGCTTGAAGCGATCCATTTTTTTCAGCAGTGGACAGGTCAGGTATCTCTTGTGCAACATCACGGAAGCGCGCCGCGTACTCCTGGACGGATTTGAGTTGCTTGAGGGCAGCCAAGCGGTCACGAGCTTTGAGTTCCGGGTTCACTGGTTGAAAAGCAGCCGTGAAGAGTTGCTTAAACTGCTCCCATGACTGAACAGAGGTGTGGATGGATTGCCACCAAGTGATCGCAGAACCTCGAAGAAGCGTTCCCGTGAATGATACCCACTCAGCAGGTGCAACGTGGCTCAACAGCAAGTACTGCTCGACAAGGAATAGCCATCGACTCACGACTGGCTGAAACTTTCCTGGCGTGAAGAGATCTGGCATAGCGGGTCTAGCGCGCTGATTTCCATCTGAGGGTGCAGCAGTATCCACACTTGCTGCCACCGAACCGGCTGCAGCTATACTGGCTCGAATCTCAGCTTGCAAGCTCTCTCGAAGTTCAGAAACGATTTGGGCCCGGTAGTTCTGCAAAAAAATAGCCCAATCTTCAGAGGACGGAGGTCCTAAGTCAGACGTCATGACGTGGTCCTAGCAGGAAGTCGAAATCTAGCTCGGATACCAAATGGAACAGCTCTAGGCTGTTAGAGTTTCTGAAGGCTAAAGCTTGGAGAGTCTAAAATGACAAGGTAAACTCAGTAGCATAAATTCTGTAAATTTCAGAAAGCAAGAATGGCATACAAGGGACGAAGGACTACTCTTATACACACTTCTATGACTATGGCGCCTTGAGAAGGTCGTTCAGGTCGCCATTAATCCTATCTCTGCTGTCACCAGCAAGGAACGGCTATGTACAAGCAATGATAACGATCCTATGCTGGATCCTAGCTGTTTATATAGAAATATGCAAAGTACAATCATGAGATGGATCTAGAAAGGTATTATCTGACTTGGTCTTCGACTTCATGATGATGGCACTTAGATCTTGTGGTGCTGGAACGTAGTTACAGCTGTATGGCGTGACTTGTTGCTCTGCTGTCGTAAAGATGCCCTTGTGCTTTCTTCTCTGCTGCTTTGCTGGTTGGGAATTCACGTGTGCTTTGAGAAATCCCGAAGCGCACATTTCAGGTTGAGATTTCCAACCTCGAATTTGACATTTCAGGTTGGAGTTTTGGCGAAGGTTACAAGTTCGCTAGTGAGCGAACTTTCCTGTGGCGAGTTCGCCTTCGCCCTGTAACATTGTCGAAGGAGGGGGAGAGGGCGGAAGGGAGAAGGCGAAGGAGCTTCCTCCTTGAATGGCGGGAAAACGCGCTGGTGTATCATGGTGGGGTGAATGCGGATTCAATCGCAAGAGGTCGTGAAGAGTTGAGTCGAGAGAGGGGGAGGGGAGGGATGGGGGAGGGGGAGAACAGGGAGCTGTGCTTCCGCGGATGGGAGGAATGGGAGGTGCGCGCGCGGACGGAGCTGCGTCGCAGGAGGGTCACACAAAGAGTGCGACAAGGGCTCAAAGTTTGTGGTGACACGGCTTGCGCCGCAAAATTGCTCGTGAGACAAAACATGTGCTTGTCGTTGTTGGAAGGACGCACGCGAGTTGCGAAGTCAAGATCCACCTGACTACCGACGACATGAATGCGCGGACCGGTGGCGCGCCTCTCCGCACTGCTTTGAAAGAAGAGTCATCGCGCCGGGCAGTACACGACATGCAGTAGCGACATATCCCCACTGCAGTCACCTTGTCGGGTTCTAGCGTGACAGCTGTCATATCTCCGCGTACAGTAACCTGTCTGGTTCGTTGGGCGTAAGGAGGATATCGCACGTGACGTGTATGGGTTGCTGTCATTGGCTGCGTCTATAACGGTCTTGATCACACGAACCACGAATCCGAATTCGCGTCAAAACGACTGGCTGAAAGGCCGACTATGACCTATGAGCGGCTGAAGAACCCTACCGGCCGTCATCCATCAGCCACACATTCGAAAGAAAATTGTGATATTTCTCCCGGCGGGAGACGACAATTCTGCAACGTGACGTTGTCGTTAGCCTGGAATGATAGATCGGCGAGAATGAAAGACTTTCAAGAACAGTGAACCAGTGGGGTGTGCAGCGAGAGAATGTTCATTGTCTCGTCTCGCCTCTCACGTGCGGCGAGCGACAGAAAACCTCCGGCCAAGAAAACTTGTGGAGTGGATCTCGTTCTAGTGCAGAGGGAAAAGGGCCGGCAGATATTGGTGGCTGCACGGCGATACCTACCACAGACTATTGAAGGGGCCTAGCGGTGCAGTCGTGGGCATTGGACGAAGACCTTCGAACGAATACGTAGACCAAGTCAAGGTTCTACACCTAGTGCTAGGGAGAGGAGAGAAAGCGTGCCTGCCTTCCGAAAGAAACGCTAGTCAAGGTCCTACACCTTGTGCCTTACTTCACTCACCCCAACTTCAGTGGTAAAATAAATTTTGAAACCCAATCTACTTTTCGCCTTCCTCCGCCAATCTCAACACTGGCAGTAAGGGACCATAAGTACGTAAACACAAGCAGCTTGTTACGTTTTATATTAAGTTATCCACAGCTGTACATGTGCTTATTGCCAGGATACACTTGATTCAGATTGATCGAACTACGTGAGAGGGCTGCCCGTCAGGGACTCTAGTCACTACTCAGCTATATGCGACACTATGCACAATCCGGTGTATTGCACGTTTCTGACATTTTGTTCACGACTCTCTACCAGGGCTAGGTGAAGGTAATACAACAAAGTGAATAAGCATAGAGCAGCTATAAACAAAATGTCAAATATGAACCACAAGGCACAAGTGTGTATATAGGAATCTGAAAGGACAAAAATAAAAAATTTATTGCATGTGTAACATCACCGCATACAGCGGCCTTCACGGGCTCGTGTCGGCTTCCAGCGCAGCACGGTACCACTTTCATATCACAACATGGTATGCGACGGTATGTGCTTAAAAAGTGGAACCCATGTTGCGTTGTTTGTTTCCTTCCATACACACATTTGCTATGGTATTAAGAATCTTAATTCATCACAATAACTTCATAAAGTCACATATGGTTTCACTCCAGCTATACTATCTTTCCATCATCACCCTTGTCTTGTAACAGGGACGTCAATCTCCTTATCTCAGTAGCTGCCAGTTTCACATGGCAGCATGCACACATGCCAGCTACTCTTGATGCTGAGCTACAGAGCGCAAATGATGCACCACAATCTCGGCCAGCACTACCACAGCCATCACTGGCAGCAGCACCATCACATTTATCACTGCCTGCAGCACTGGCCGATCCGCAAGAGTAATGCTGCTGGTGAGTGCACAGAGTGCCACGCGGGTCGACCAAAGGAACAGCCTGCGGAGCTGTTGAAGCCAGTGGCTTATCGGAAATGCTTGTAAAGGGGACAGAATGAGCCAAGGCACGAAGTGCTGTGGAGCGTGCGGATTCCACGGCGTGGGATATGCACTCTGCATGCTGGAAGCAGGGTTTAGGGTAGGGCCAGGACCATTGCAAGCATACAAGTGGCACAGGGGAGGGTTAGGTGCTGGCTTGACATAACCAGTGCATGAATGCATTTCTGTCTGACAAACGATGGCCAGTTGGATAGACAGGCACATAGGCAGAGGATGGGAAAGTGACGGAACAGGACAAGGAGTTTGATGCAGAGCCGGCACACCATCTGCACGCCCATCGGCCATACCTGCTGCAACAATTGGCGGACGTTGCACAGGTCTTGAGGAGAGGCGAGCGAGGTCATGTGGAGGAGTGTTGCTGCGATCTGATGCCGTACATGCACATGTGAAACAGACTTGCACATGATATGTCACACAGATATGCACATGATCTCACACAGGCATGCACATGTTGTCACACACACATTCACATGACGTCACACAGACATGCACATGATGTCACACAGACATGCACATGATGTCACACACACATTCACATGACGTCACACAGACATGCACATGACGTCACACACATTCACATGACGTCACACACATGCACATGACGTCTCACAGACATGCGCATGACGTCACGCAGACATGAACATGATGTGACAAAGATGCAGGAACATCGGATTGCATGCCAGTCGCAAGGAGCTAGAACCTTCAGTGCTGGTACCTGCAGCCTAAATACAAGTACATTACATCTGCTTGAATCATTTTTTAGATTTCTCCACAGTGATTCATGCATTACCCCCCTCCATTCACCCACCCCTAACCTGCTCCCTCAGCAGCAGTTTGTGCCACTGCCCACCGCGCTCTGCTGCTCTTCCAGCTGAAATACCGCTGTCAACTACACACCAACACCACCAACCGCCAAATACCCCCCCACACCCCGCTTACATACTCTGCTCCATTCACCCCACCGCACCTGATCCCTCAGCACCAGCTTCTACCGCTGCCCACTGCACTCTGCTGTTCCCCAATTAGCACCGTCCCATACACACCCAAGACTAATGCCATACCCAACGCCGCCTTGTCACACTAGTATTACAGTGCTACCTGCTCTATTCACCCCATTCCCATCCTCCCCCACCGCACCTGATCCCTCAGCACTGGCTTGTACCGCTGCTCGACTGCACTTTGCTCGTCTGCTGCATCAAGTGAGGAGAGCGATGAGACAAGGGCGTGCAGGATAGCACCAAATTCCGGGCCATAGTCTGACGTTAAGGGGAGTGAGGAGAAGGGGTTGGTTGGGTGGGAAGCAAAGCGAAGGCAGTTAGGCATGAGTGCAATCACGCAACACGATAGCACTGGCTTCCGTGCCATGTTCTGATGTTGGAGAGAGTGAGAAGGTTGGGGAGCAATCAGGAATGCAAACAGGTGGCAGATACTCATGATCCAGCTCTCACCTTCCCCAGCTCTCACCTTCCCCAGCTCTCACCTTCCCCAGCTCTCGCCTGCCCCAGTCCTCACCTGCCTCAGCTCCCACCTGCCCCAGTCCTCACCTGCCTCAGCTCTCGCCTGCCCCAGTCCTCACCTGCCTCAGCTCTCGCCTGCCCCAGTCCTCACCTGCCTCAGCTCTCGCCTGCCCCAGTCCTCACCTGCCTCAGCTCTCGCCTGCCCCAGTCCTCACCTGCCTCAGCTCTCGCCTGCCCCAGCCCTCACCTGCCTCAGCTCCCACCTGTGCCAGCTCTCTCACCTGCCCTTGTGCATGGCTGGATGAGGGCGGCAGCAGCGTGGATGCGGATCTTGAAGTTGGAAGAGCGCTGCAAGAGAGCCTGCAGTGTGGCCAGCACGGGGCCAGTCCTGGTGGGGGGAAGGGGAAGGGGGAAAGGGGGAAGGAAAAAGGGAGGAGGGGGAGGGAGGGGGAGGAGAGGAATGGGAAAGAAGGGGAGGAGGGCAAGGGGAACCTCGAAAGGGAAAGGGGACAGAGAACAACAGGCAGGGGGAAGGGGGGAAGGGAAAGAGAGGAAAGGGAGGGGGAACAGGGAAGAACGAAGGTGGGAGGGGGAAGGGCTGAGGGTGAAAAGCTGCCGGAGAAGAGAAAAGGGGAGGGAGTAAAGGGCATGAATTGTTAGGGAGGAAGCAGAGGTGAATGAGAGCAGCAGAGGTGAATGAGAGCAGCAGAGGTGAATGAGAGCAGCAGAGGTGAATGAGAGCAGCAGAGGTGAATGAGAGCAGCAGAGGTGAATGAGAGCAGCAGAGGTGAATGAGAGCAGCAGAGGTGAATGAGAGCAGCAGAGGTGAATGAAAGCAGCAGAGGTGAATGAGAGCAGCAGAGGTGAATGAGAGCAGCAGAGGTGAATGAGAGCAGCAGAGGTGAATGAGAGCAGCAGAGGTGAATGAGAGCAGCAGAGGTGAATGAGAGCAGCAGAGGTGAATGAGAGCAGCAGAGGTGAATGAGAGCAGCAGAGGTGAATGAGAGCAGCAGAGGTGAATGAGAGCAACAGAGGTGAATGAGAGCAGCAGAGGTGAATGAGAGCAGCAGAGGTGAATGAGAGCAGCAGAGGTGAATGAGAGCAGCAGAGGTGAATGAGAGCAGCAGAGGTGAATGAGAGCAGCAGAGGTGAATGAGAGCAGCAGAGGTGAATGAGAGCAGCAGAGGTGAATGAGAGCAGCAGAGGTGAATGAGAGCAGCAGAGGTGAATGAGAGCAGCAGAGGTGAATGAGAGCAGCAGAGGTGAATGAAAGCAGCAGAGGTGAATGAGAGCAGCAGAGGTGAATGAGAGCAGCAGAGGTGAATGAGAGCAGCAGAGGTGAATGAGAGCAGCAGAGGTGAATGAGAGCAGCAGAGGTGAATGAGAGCAGCAGAGGTGAATGAGAGCAGCAGAGGTGAATGAGAGCAACAGCAGACGAGCTTGAATCTGGACGAGTAGGGAAGAGGGGCAGTAGGGGCAGTAGGGGCAGTAGGGGCAGTAGGAGCAGTAGGGGCAGTAGGGGCAGTAGGGGCAGTAGGGGCAGCGTGGGCCGTATAGTTGGAATAGGCCACAGTTTGCTCCATCGTTTACCATAGTGTTACAATGTATCGGCCATGTTTAGAGCACGTTGATCTTTCATGTACAGGCCACGTTTTGAAAGGCATGTACTTGGCCTTGAGGTGAACCGCGAAGGCACGCCAAGTTTGGATTTACGCCTACTTGCCTTTGAAGGTGGTTGGTTCAGTAGGAATTTCAACCAACCTCGTTGCTGAAATTTATCTAGATATTTTCCAGAGTCCAGATCTTATCCGACTACCTATCTAGTCTCCTGAGGCTCTTTGAGATGTATGGGTCGTATGGCAGTCGGGGTGCTTCATGGGCAGTCGGGGTGCTTCATGGGCAGTCAGGATGATTGAAGAGGAGTCGGGATGAGACCCTACGATCGAGATAAAGGGAGAAAAGAGAGGGGAATACGAAAGAGGTATCCAGGTGCGAGTGACGTACCAGGGAGAAGATGGTAGGTGGACGGAGGGGTTTTGGAGGAAGAGGGAGAGGGCTGCACACACACTCCACTGCACCTATGTATGGCGAGAGCCGAGGTGGCGAGGAGGAAAAGTGGGGAAGGGAAGAGGAGATGAAATAGATGGCTGCAGAGAAGTGAGAAAAGGGGGACAGGGGAAGAGAGATATAAAGAGAAGGCTGCAGACTGCAACTGCGGATGTTGAGAGCAGAAAGGAAGAGGGGAGGAGAGAGGGACAGGGCATGGCGGGAAAGGGTACGGGAGAAACAGAGACGGACGGGTAGAGAGAACATGAACAGGAGTACAGCCATTCAGACACACTCACTCCACCTCTTCTGCTCCCGTTTCCCACTCTCAACCTTCCACTCCCCACTCACAACTCACACTCCCCACTCTCCACACACTGTCACCATCACAGCCTATTCATTCACCTTGGGGTTGCTCTGCAAGGCACATGAGAGAATGCCTTCAACCACTCGTTCCTGCCACGCCCCCGACACTCCATAACTGCTCTCCTTCCCCTGGACCTCCTCCCGTGCACTTGCTGCCGCCTGCTTCTCAGCTTCCCTCCTCCTATGCATGTGAGCACTTCCTCCTTCTCCGCCTCCCTTTGCTGGTGCAGTCCTTGCTGCTTCCGGCTCAAGTCTCACGACTTGAGTCAAGCCAGCATTCGCTCTGCTGCTGCAACAGCTATCAGCAGGGCAGTGCTGAATCTGCTGCTGCTGATCACCCTTGTTACAGTCACCACACTTAGAAATGCCACAGATGCCCCTGCCAGTACCACATCCCTCCGCTGCTTCACCCTTCACTGCTTGTTGACTCTCACAGCAGCACTGGCGGTTACTCTGAAGGCACTGCCTCACTTGCACTCCTGTCTCAGAATCGCCGGCACTGCCTGCTGGGCAGCGAGAATGGCACGTGGCAGTGGCAGTGGCAGTGGCAGTGGCAGTGCGGAGATCGAAGCAGCAGGGCCTGGCCGAGCTTGCTGCATCGGCGTGTGGGCAGCAGCGATGGCAGAAGCAGCAGCAGCGGGCGAGAGCACCCAACAGTCGAACGGCACTGGCTTTGACCTGGTAGGTGGGGTAGGGATGACGGAGAGTTGGGGGAGGAGGTGAGGTGGAGGAGCAAGAGATGGAGGAGCAAGAGATGGAGGAGCAAGAGGTGGAGGAGCAAGAGATGGAGGAAAATTACTGGGCGAGATGGATTTTGCGAAGTCTTTTTGTAAACTACCTTGCATTGTACGAGTCTCCTGCTTACCATAACGTACCTTATCGCTGTCGCCTGCTCCCTTCACAGCAGCGTTAGCAAGAGCTTCAACGTCGAACGCGCCCCACCAGGCTGCACTCCATTCCGCACCAACGTGCGCCTGGGGGCCCACCACGCTGCCACTGCTAGAACCATCCCTTCTACTGCTCTGCACGTTGCCGCAGTGATTGCTGCGACAGTTATTGATGCTACAGCGCAAGCTGCTGCTACAATGATTGGTGCTACATTGATCAAGGCTACAGTGCATAGGCGGCAGACGCTCTGAGATGTTGGCAAGAGACCACATTGCAGCAGAGCGGACCTGCGGTTGGGGGCAGAAACGAATGGGGCAAAAGGGAGGGGGGGTGCGGGGTTGGGTACAGACGCTCTTAGATGTTCGCAAGAGACCACATTGCAGCAGAGCGGACCTGCGGTTGGGGGCAGAAACGAATGGGGCAAAAGGGAGGGGGGGTGCGGGGTTGGGTACAGACGCACTGAGATGTTCGCAAGAGACCACATTGCAGCAGAGCGGACCTGCGGTTGGGGGCAGAAACGAATGGGGCAAAAGGGAGGGGGGGTGCGGGGTTGGGTACAGACGCTCTGAGATGTTCGCAAGAGACCACATTGCAGCAGAGCGGACCTGCGGTTGGGGGCAGTAGAGGGGGATGGGGTGGGGGGGAAGAGAGGGGAGGTGGGGGGAGGGGGTGGGTGATTGAGGCGACTCAATAGATGTTAGTGAGGGAACATTGTGGCAGGGGAAAGGAGGGGACAGGTAGGATTTATGCATGGATGTAAGGAAGGATCACACAGATGGCAGCCTTGTTAAGTTTCTAAAATGGGGGTAATAACAAGATGTCAAAAGTAAATGAAGCTAAATGGTTACAAAAACACAGTGAGAGAGTTTAAAGGTCGACGCGAGAAGAGAAGTCAAAGAAGGTGGATGGACAGAGGCACAGAGGCGCGATGCATTGAAAAAGAGGTTGGATGGGTCGCATGGGGTGCAGTGCGGTGCGGTGCAATGCACTGGCGCTACATTATGTAAATAGCTTTGCGGTGTGCACAGACGGCACTCACAGGGACGGAAGAAGAGGAGCAGGCTTGAAGCAGCAGCATGCGGCCGTGGGAGAAGAGGCTCAACGCAGACGAGGAGGGAACATCGTGAGATGTCTCAAACGAGGGAGTTGAGGGTGATGGTGATGACGAATCTTGCAGGGACGTGGTCTGGTGGTCTCTTTGAGTCCTTCTAAAATTAGACGTGCCCAAGGGAGAGAGATACAGGGGGAGGGCTGGTGAGATAAGAGGTCTGTGTGAAACCCAGAAGAGGTCCTGTGTAAAACCTACTGGGGACTGCAAAATGGATAGATGGAGTGCGCGAGCAACAGGCAGCGCATGTGGGAGGCATGAATAGGTAGACACTGTTCACGTGCTTGCTGCTTGCTTTGTCCCACGCTCCGTTGCTTGCCATTTTGCAGTGAAACCAATGCACACGAAGCTCACTTGTTACCTGGTTGAAAGTTGCCAGTATGTGCACATAAAGCAATTCCGATTCCGGCACGCGCGGTGGGCGGCACTCACAGTGCGGGCATGAGGTGCAGCACTCACAGTGCGGGCATGAGGTGCAGCACTCACAGTACGGGCATGAGGTGCAGCACTCACAGTGCGGGCATGAGGTGCAGCACTCACAGTGCGGGCAAGAGGTGCAGCACTCACAGTGCGGGCATGAGGTGCAGCACTCACAGTGCGGGCATGAGGTGCAGCACTCACAGTGCGGGCATGAGGTACAGCACTCACAGTGCGGGCATGAGGTGCAGCACTCACAGTGCGGGCAAGAGGTGCAGCACTCACAGTGCGGGCATGAGGTGCAGCACTCACAGTGCGGGCATGAGGTGCAGCACTCACAGTGCGGGCATGAGGTGCAGCACTCACAGTGCGGGCATGAGGTGCAGCACTCACAGTGCGGGCATGAGGTGCAGCAGAATGGTTCCAAAGACCTTCATCAATGCTGCTTGGATTGCTGGCACCGACTCGCCTGCTGCCAGGGCGAACTGGCACACGCAACGAAGGGAGATGGGAGAGGGGCCTGAGAGAGAGGGGAAAACGAGGAGGAACAACAAAACAATGATTGCGAGGAGGATTTGATTATCCCGCGGTTGAGGGAGCCACAGAAACGTAGAGAAGCTAGTCCCAGGCATGCTGTTCACAGAAGGCCCAGGTTGTGGGCAAGAGAGGTGGACACGTGGAAGCATACCATTGGCTGGAAGATGACGTCATGCATGTGGGAGAGGTACTGCAGAGTGGGTGCTGGCATGTGCAGGAAGCATGTGAGCGCTGCCATGCGCACCTGGTGGGAGGGAGGGAGGGGTGGGAGAGGATGAGAGGGGAGGGAGAAATGGAGTTGTGACTCGTCGTGACCTTAGGCGATGGTGCTGCAGGGTGGGCGCTGCATGAATGTGCACGAAGCATGTGAATGTTGCCAGGCAAATCTTGCTGGAAGGGAGGAGGGGCGGAGGGGCGGAGAGGGATCCAGGGTGAGCGGAACGGTGATGCGCAAGTGCAGTTGATAATAACGAGGTGACTTTTGAGTCGACTCAAGAGTCACCAAGTGCAGTTGATAATAACGAGGTGACTTTTTGAGTCGACTCAAAAGTCACCAAGTGCAGTTGATAATAACAAGGTGACTTTTGAGTCGACTCAAAAGTCACCAAGTCCAGTTGATAATAACGAGGTGACTTTTGAGTCGACTTAAAAGTCACCAAGTGCAGTTGATAACAACGAGGTGACTTTTGAGTCGACTCAAAAGTTACCAAGTGCAGTTGATAATAAAGAGGTGACTTTTGAGTCGACTCAAAAGTCACCAAGTGCAGTTGATAATAATGGGGCATGACGCTGCCCTGCGCATCTGGAGGGAGAGGAGCAGGGGAGATAGGGCGAGGGAAACAGAATGGGACGGATGGCATGCAGCAGCAAGTATGCTTGCAACAACACGCGGCATGGCATGCGCAGGAAGCATGTGAGCAGCGCAGTGCGGATCTATTGAGGGAGACAGAGGCGAGAGAGCAGATGGG